GTTTAGGACTGCATTTCAGGCAAGTGGATTAAGTTGCTTGGATATGTGAGGACATGATGCACAAATTGAGTTGTACTCCCTTGTTCCTCATAGTTACCTAATCTAAAATAGATGCTGAGCATCTTTGGGGAATGTGTATAATAAGATAAACTTTGGATGAGATGCATACATGGAAAATAGAGAACTCAGTTTCAGATTTGCTAAACTCTTCACCCCAACCCTGATTACATTTGAAACAGATCTTGGTGAGGACTTGCATCAGCTCCCATGAGATTGTGACTGTGTCTGTAGGTGTGCAGAGTTTTGAAGAGGAATTACAAAAAGAACTCTAGAATGAAATGGTCTCCAGTCTTCAGGTCAGAAGCCATGGCTTTTGGTAAAAGATACTGAGCTTCATTTCTAGCCAGGTACTTTTCTTTGTACTCTATTGCTTTTGATTTTATTTTCAGTTGCCAAGCTAACAATACAAATCTCCCCCCCCCCCGGTAGATTTAATTCTGTTGTAATACTAAACTTTTTTATTGACTAGCACAAGGGAGAGAAACAACAGGTTCAACTGGTATTTTAAAAAATCAGCAGATAGTTCCCCCCCTCCCCCAAGAAACAGGTTATGTCTAGAAGTAGGGACAAAAATAACACCAATGATGTAGCTTTAATATTTGGAGAAAGCTGGCAGTCCTAGTGATGTCACTTCAAATTTTGCTAGAAATAAGGTGGTGGATTGTTTTCATTTGTTTCAGAACCACTCTACACGTTTGTGTAGGTTCCAAGACCAGTAACCTTTGCAATTTGAAACAGGAATATACAGCCTGATGCCCCAGGGTAAAGCTAAGCCTGGCTTTGGGACTCTCTGATTTTATATTTTGCACAAGCGGAATCCAACGGGTCAGGCCATAGGCCCATCTGGGTGTCCTTTTAGAGAAGACCAGTGTGGCTTTTGTTACCAAATGTACTGGTGTGTGGCCTTTTCTGTCTCCACACTGCATGCTTGCAATGTGCCAGGTCACGTCACCGTTCTGCTCAGCTTGCAGAAGAGGCGCGTGTCCTTTAGATTCTTCTTGGCTGTCTTTGCATTGCCAGCATGCCCATATTGTAGCAGAGGGGTCTGTCTCTTCAGGAGGTGATTCCCACTCTCCTGGTTGAAACAGGGGAAGTTGTTGTGTGAACCTGCCTTTAAAAGGTTATGGTCAGTCAACGTGGCCTCTAGACAAGTGTGTCAAATTTAAAGTCAGTTGTGATTTAAACATCTTTTCAAGGGAACAGTATTTCAACAGCATATGCAGTTTGGTGACAGAGTCTGGTACGAGGCAGATAGACTGAAATAATGGATTTTTTTGGAAATTTCCAGAATGAATGCCTCGTTTCCTGTAGGCAATAGCATTCTCACAGAGGCTTTCAAAACTCAAGTTTCTAAAAAAGAATTTCTTGATTAGGTGTTAACAGTCCAAAATGCCTAGTGTTGCTAAAGTTATTTATGATATTTTTAGGAGCTGAAATAGTATGTTAAGTATTTTCTTGTGCTTCCAGGAATTATCAGTGGGGTGATGGTAAGTATCTCTCACAAGTTCCATTGAAATGTCATGTCCAGTTGTGCTCCTATACATCTGTTTGCTAATAGAGAGGCTCATGCTTGTTGGCCTCTTAAAGCTGCTTTCAGCAAACAGCTCTGTTCTGAACAAGGCCTGAAACAAATGTATGTTAAAATCCAGCCCCTTTTGGGGAGGGGGATCATCAGTTTTAAACAGCCAACATAAATTATTGGAATGTGTAGTTCAGTTGCCCTCTGAAAAATAGGAGTCCTCCACCTTTGAGCTGAGTTAAACAGCATTTGAAAGACTTTGTTGTTGTTTGTTTTTTTTTTAAAAAGGATCCATTTTACCAGAGCAGGTCACCCTCAGACGCTTCAATCTTCTCTTCCCTTGCCCTAAAAGCGGTTGGGGGGGGGGGGGGTTGTGTTTGTTCTGGCTGGTAACTAGCAGGCACAATTCCAGGGCAAAGCCTTTCTACTGCTTGTGCATGACAGAGGGCTCAGCAGGCAAGGCCAGCCCGTTCTTTGAAAAGGTTTGAGCTTTGTGAACTCTAAAACAGAGTGAGTTCTTAGGAAACCAGATGTTTCCTTTTCTTACATGGCCACACACATCCCTTCTGCATTTGCTGTATAATATAGTGCTGCTGTTTTATTCCATTTTTATTGTGGTGGTTTAACAGACTTAACATGTATGGCAGAGAGCTACAAACACAACTGTTTACAGACCAAGAGAAGTTAATTGTTTTTATATAGTGCTGGGCTCATGAGCCAAAGTCCTTCTGCTGCTATCTCTGGCTACCAAGTTCTTCTATTAAATGCATTTTCTTGTTGATCAGGGTGAAGGGTGTTAGTCCAGCTATCTATCTTCTCTGTAAAGAAGACTGCATTGCCCAGCTCTGTTGTCTATTTGGATGGGCGGTGGGGGGGGGGATGGGGTTGTATCTTTTTAGTAATTTTTAACTGTTTAAAAATTGCATTTATATTTTGCAATTGTTACATTGAATCACGGGAGTGTTTTGTCTCTTTCTTTAACCTGTTAAAAGGGGGACAGGTCTGTATCTGCAAAGCCACCTTGGAATGTCTCCCTCCCTTATTTGCAAGCTTAACTAATTTATGATTGTGAAAGGTATGTAAAAAAATAACATCAACCACCAACAGACTTTTAAGTGACAAAACTGCTAGTGATCTGCTTTAAACTGGATGGGTTTATAATTTATAAAAATGAGTCGGTTTCTTTTTAAACCAAGCTTTGCTGCTTTTTTTTTTTCCCCCCTTTCAGATAGGAAAACTCACAGATGTCTGAAGGCTGTATTCTGTCCCCTTGGGTGGTTTTTGCTGCTTTTGCAGTCTCGCTTTAGTGTACTGGTAAAGAAAACCCCAAAGACAGCTTGATCCTAACGTGCGCTAGCTGATGTCTTTTGAGACTGTTGTGTTACTACAATATGAGGGCAGCCGACTGCATGGTTGCATTGTGGCACAGCAGAAGTGAGCTTACATAGCTTTCAGATGCCTTTTGA